TTCTTCTATCTTCCTTCTGTTCACTTCATCCCAAAATTTCTTGAACTTAGTAAAGCTTGTATCCCCCTCCTCCATGCTCAGCATGTCCTGTGAGGCCTGTGACCTCTTGGCTAGGCTGGATGTCCAAGGATTCATTGGGTCATACGTTCCTGCAGCAATGGCCTCCTCCTTTAAGCAGATATGATATTAATACCACAGTAAGAGTGACACATTTCATATTACAAAATAACAATTGAAAAACTTTTGTTATAATAATTATTTCGTATTAACTTAATATCAATCAAAACAAATGTTTGGGTGATACACTGTTTTCTCACAAATTGTGACACAAACCTTTTGCTGCTCAGATCCACTATCATATTCACTGTCACTGGCCTCCTTCTTGTTAATTTTCATCTTTAGTTCTCGGTGCATCCTAGCATTCTCCTGTAGTGCTGCCATGGCCTGTCAATTGTGTTGTATAACAATTATTACCACAGTCCTTTAAAATGGTCTACCATATTCATCGTGAGTTTAGAAGGCTTGTTTAGACTTTAGTGTATTGCATTAAATCAAATATACAACAAACATTTTAAAAGGCTTTAGCTAGTCTACCTCCTTGTCTCTGGTTGCTCGTAGCCCTTGGAACTTGGCCCACTTGGAGGACCTATGGCGTTGACTCATTCTCTCCTGGATGCGCAGCAACTCCATCTCCTGCAGTTTCTCCAGAGCTGCATCAGGGTTCTTCTTGTGCAGCTCCTGTAGCTCTGTCTTCTGCTTCCTCAACTTCTCACGACGGAGAATTCGGTGGTGTCTGGGGATTGCAGGAGCATATAATGGCTAGAAGTGCTACTGCCTCAGCACTAGCAAGAAACTTTATTGTTAAGTGGATTATTAATAAAACAATTCACAAAGTTTACAGTATCTAAAAATTCTGCAGTCAAAAATTTCTCCTATTGCTATTTTTTGAGACAATATAAGTGGGAAGTGACCAAAAGCATCCAAGGGGGCCTCCAGACTTCATTTCCATTCACAAAAGTCCCTCATGGTAAGCTGCCAGGTAGATAAACAGCTCACCTCTTATCACAATAGATCTGATCAATCTGCATAATCCACACAGGTTGTCTTAAATGAGACTCCCTGGTGTGCAAAATCTTCCTCAGGGAGTTGAGTGATGTGTCCAAATAGCCTGTAATGGGTCCTACACCAGTCTCATGATTTAAGTTTTGACTTACAGTGTGGTCCTGCCAACTGGATCACCATGATCTGGCATATGGACCTGTGGTTAAAAGCATCAAAATGGGTCTTCATGGTGTAGGATAGAGTTTCCCTTTCATAAAGCAAGAATGGCGGTATTGGGGCCTTGAGGAAACATAGCTTCTAGTACCAGCATCAAAAACTCTTGTTGGGCAGGTTCATGTCACCTGCTGCTGGGCTAATCCATCTACTGACTCCCTGGTCAGTGGGAAATCATTGACTACACAAATTAGATATGTAAAGCTTTACATGACCTCAATGTCCTTGCTGCAAACATATACCAACTGGACATGTTCTCTTAGAAAGTTCCCAGAATAAAGGATCTTGGACTTGGTCTAAGAGACCATTTGATCTATAAGATTGATCTTATCAAGAACTGCCAGAAGGCTCTCCTGGATAGCAACACTATCAGCAAAGTCAAGGTCAGTGACCTTCATACTGTTCAGTGTTGTTTCACATTACCTTTGGATAGATATATCATTATACAGGCTATGCAAGGGTTGATCAGCATTGGTACAAGAACATCGTCCAACCTAACTCTTGATTTCTTAGGAAAGATGTTAGACATGTCCCCACCACACTTTACAGCACTTTCAGTACCAGCATAAAGGATTGCTATCAATCCAATAATCTTTGTCAGAAGAATATTCACAGAACTAAAAGTCAACATGAACAATAAGGGAAAAAAAAGTGTAGCATCCACAAATGTTTTCTCTGACTTGCTGTAGTTACCAGGAAACACTTGCATAGCTACTGTAAAGATTACAGAAGAGAAGAAAGAAAGGATAAAAATATGGGGAACATACTTTTTAGAAGTTAAGCTGAAAGAGGGCATTGGGGGAGGTTTGACATATATAAAAACTACTTATCTGATAAAATTCATTTTTGATAAAAGTAATCAAATGATATTAAAAAATGGGTTGAATTGGCTTGGGCAAAATATGAATGGTTCAGCCTTTAGCTCTATCAACATATTTACAAAGAGTTTCTAGGATTCAGTGAGCAATGCTTGTCCTCCCAGATGCATAAAATGGAGGCCACTCACAGCCCTTCCCATGCAGTCTGGTCTCATGGGAATTTGTTTTAGAAAATCTTCCTTCTCTGGCTACTTTTGACGGCAGAATTGGGATGCAAGCCAAGGCCCAGTGTCTGAAAGAGAGTAGTTCCTTGGCATAAAAAAATAAATAATGCATACTCACTTCTTGCTCTTGCTCTGGTTCTGTCTACGAGCCTTTTCTTCATAGCGGTGTTTCATTTCTTTTTCACGCCACAGTGCACGCATTCTCTCCTTCACCTCCTCAAGGGACATGGCATGTTTTATGGCTTTCTCCCTTGCTGTTTCCTGTGGGAGGGCAGAGGATGGATTTTCTAAGAATGTACAAAAAAAGGCCTTCACATTCTAATGATAGTGAAAATAAAACTGAACTAGCTGTGAAAAAATACATATATATTTTTTTTTTCATTCATAATATTCATCACTGCTACAGAAAAGCCATGTTTATTCCAGAATTTCAAAAATTCTTTCCTCATTTAGAATACTATAAACAGCATTCATCCGTATCTAATTTGACTTTGCTTTGTACTAAATTATATATTTCTTTAATAGGCTAGCATTCAACTGACCTCCTTCTTGACCAACTTTGCACCCTCAAGGAGGGAATAAACCTCATGCTCTAAGTCTGTCTTCAACTTTGGCGGCTCAACCTTGTCCACTGTGCTAAGCCCAGTGTTTTTCTTCATGAGTGGGAAACTCAGTGTGTCGGCTTGGCGGCGCAGTTCTACAACCTTGGCCCACTTGCTCACTTCCATCTCCACATCCTCAAAGCCTGCAGCTCGTTTCACCTAGATGAGGCAAAGAAGAAAAAGGTAATAATGTCTATTTCATGTACAAAAGCCTATTCAGCATTGCAGATTTCCTAATTAAGCCTTCCACAACAAAATGCAATTTCAGAATCACTCCTGAATGCCATAAAGCCCCTGCAGGATGCATTTCAAATTTCTTGGATTAATTGCCATATACAGAATTACCATATAATCCTACTACTACTACTACTATTAATAATAATAAAAATAATAATAATAAGAAGAAAAGGAGAATATCTGGAAAAAAACAACCATTTGAAATAGTGCAAATCATGCTGCCATCTGTGAATGCTGCTAGAAATCCTGACTGTTGTTTCTTCCAGTAGTGAAGCATACATTTTTCAAAATTTTCTACACACATCCATCCTACTTCTTTTAAGACTATATAAGTTATTATAATATACAAAGATGTCCTGTATTAATGTTACAAATATTTAGGAAATACATTTTTTCTTTTTAATTTATATCCTTGTAGAGGACGAGATAATGTTGATTTATTTTAGTTTTCACTCATGTTTCATCAAATACCTCTTTATAAAGCAAGATTAAAAAATATTAATACTGGATATGAAAATTGACAGAAAAATTAAAAACAGAAATTACCAATTCAAATTTTTGGTTAACATCAAGATAAGAACTACAATGAAATTCAGTTTGGTAGTCAAGGGTATCCTTGTCTCAAGCAGATATATATGATTGTGGCTGCTAAAGGATAATTTACAGTGAACAATAACTTCCAGGGAGTACAACATACAAGCGTATTCAATGTAAACTTACCCTCCGAGCAACATGTTTCTCAAGAGGTTTTTGTGTAGCTTTAATTTTCTTGTTTGTCTGGCTAAGAAGTGAGGATCCAATTCGGTTCATGAGATCCTCAGCCTTAATTTCTTCTGTTACCGTCCCAATTGTTGTACGAACTTCTCGTTTAGCTGCTTGCCTGTAAAACAAAGGGGAAAGATTACTGTGTTTCTAAAGTATCTGTGAATGTGTGCATGAGTATGTGCATATGAATGTGCATGCATGCATGCATGCGTGTGTGTGTGTGTGTGGGGGGGTGCATGCATGCATGCATGTGTGGGGGTGCATGTGTTTGTGTATGTGTGAGTGAGTGAGTGAGTGAGTGGATAAGTAGTTGAGTGAGTGAATTCTGCCTGTGAATGTAAGTAAGTATATGTATGTGTGTGTGTGTGTGTGTGTGTGTGTGTGTGTGTGTGTGTGTGTGTGTGTGTGTGTGTGTGTGGTGTGTGTGTGTGGTGTGTGTGTGTGTGTATACATGCATGAGATTATTATACTTGAGCCCAGCCTATGCAGATTAGCTCTCCCTTTTTCTCTGTTTCTCCATAAATCAAAGTACTTACTTCTTTTTCTTGCTGATCTTGCTCATGTCATTGAGCAGTCTGGCATGTGCCTTCTCATCTCCTTCATCTCCTTCTTCATCGCTATTGTCCTCGTCCTCTCCCTTGGGCCTAGAGATGAAGATTTCATCTTCTTCTGCAGCATGCATGCTTATTGGGAAGAAAAGTTAAAGAAAAGTTCAATTTCAATACTTGCATAATACACAAGATACCCGTGTACATAAGCAATGGGTTAGCCAGGTGATGCAGATCACCTATGCACTTGCTTACAGTTTTTCATTCCCCAGTGATTTTTTACAAATAATAAAAACTCTTTTATTTCCTTTCATTAATCATTATTTGAAGCTTGAGGATGGTCATGTAATTTATAATATATTATCTTCCAACATGTGCTCAAAGGCTCAATGGGCTGAGAGAGTACTATGCTGGTGGTTAGGTATTTGAATATGAGTTATATATAACAAAAAAAATACATTACATTTCTAAACTTCAGACTACCCATGCATATTTGCTCTCTTTCTACAAAACCAAAATACTTACTTCTTGCTGACCTCGCTCACATCACTGAGCAGTCTAGCATATGGCTTCTTGTTTCTAGCACTCGATCTGATTGAGGAGAAAGGTGATTATCAACAAATAGTCTATACTCTAATGTTAGCCTATTACTGATGGGCACAGCTATAAACATCATGGAAATCCTACCCTTCATGACCGGAAACGTTTATACATGTCATGACTCGCTCTAGCAAGCAAGCTGACAGGGAGGCTGGATACAATAAATACCCTGCTGGAAAGGCTAGACAGATGCCAGTAGTTGCCAGAATGAGCGATATACAGAAAATTCAGACCCTATCAGTGTAAGGTTAATATATAGTGTGCACTGACATCCTCAGTAGACTAAGGCACCTGAGTACTGAGCTAGTGTTCGGGGATTTGAGTCTAGCAAAAAGTTAACATATTTACCAGAATTCTAAATTTTGCCCATCCCATGCAGATTCTCTCCTTCCCCACTGTATCAAGTTACTTACTTCTTTTTGCTGATCTTGTTCTTGTCCCTGGTCAATCTGGCATGCGCCTGCTCATCTCCATCCTGCATGCCTTTAATGCTGGTCTCCCTGTCCTCTTCTGCAGCACACGGGCTGATTGGAGACAAGAGCTTATTATATATATAAAGCCTAGAGTTCAATTTCAATACAAATGACCTATAGTTTGATTTCAATGATACAATATAGCAATTCAATTTGTAAGATTGGAAAAAGACACAACCTGGATTCTTTTATGCAAAGAAAGAAATGGGCTTAGGCAAGATATCCTGTCTCCTTAAGTACTAGTTATGGTGAGAAATATGCATACCTACCTACTGACTAAGGTGAGTAATACAAGACTACTACATAATCACCAATTCAGTCAAGTAATGTACGCCATCTATTCACTTGCTTGCATGGTTTTCCATTCTCCAGTGATGCTTTGTAAAATCTTTTCATCTCATCCACTCCATGTATATTGGTTTTAATCTTGATTGTTTAATCTAAAATATATTATTTTTCACTGTGTTTAAAGGCTCAGTGGGTTAATACTGACCTGGTGTTTAGATGTTTCAGCCTATCTAGTGCCACTTGTGATTAGGACCTCACCTATTCCTAGTACACAGGGGAAGGTGGTGGCCTACTTGTAGGTTAAAGCTTAGTGTCATCTGACATCTGCCCACCTTATTATCATCATATTATTATTCTATTTTCCATACTTTACAGCAAAAGAATAAATTCAGAAGCAGAGTTCAGATTGGTAGACATGTGTTACTGAAGAATATGATGGACAACATACGGTAAGATACTCCATGGAACATGCCCAGTCACTAAAGGAAATTACATTAAATGTCTCCCATCCACTACTAAATAAATTGCACATAACCATTGTTACCAAATCTAACTGGTTACACACCTGTGAGTGATAGCAAAAGTTTGTGATAGTGGAATCTAAGAACTGATGGAAATAGTTCTAGCAGGTTCTTATGCAGACTATCTACCCAAATATTTTGTCAATCTGTTGGGGATGCTCAATAGCATGTGGTGGTGGCCATATGGATGAAGATATATATTTCATGTTGGGCATCCTGGATGAGAATTTTGTCAGAGACTCTTTTTCAAAACAGAGCTTGTCATGGTTCCTTACATCACTATAAATCTCGATGGAGGCCTACAAACTTATTCTTGCCAAATTATAAATAATGGAGGTTTTCAAACTTTGCCAGAGACTGTACAGGTGTATAATAGCATTTGTTATAGTGTCTTACAAATATTAAGCTCTTAAAATTACAGGTAAAACAGTCATACCAAACAAACTTATATTACAAGATAAACAGTACACAGAAAAACTCATAAATCCTAAGACACTATTCATCTATTACATACCTTTTTACAAACTGCATTTAAACAAGCAAGTTCATACAATAACTATCACCCACCACTGGCAGTCTCTTGCCAGCAGACCTCCAATATTCATAGTCTAGAGAGACAGAACTGGAAATGGTTCCTTATCCAAAGACACAATGAATGAAGTTTTATATGGTAAAGATGTCAGAGACCGACGCGCGTAGATAGAGCAAAATGGACACTGCTATCTTATAGAGTGGAAGAAATAGAGTGGGATAGGATATGGTATATGATGCAGAGGCCTTTCAATCACCACTAAATGACGAAAATATAACGGGTGCATGCCTTTCAAATCCTAAGTTAATCAGCTTGTTTACCTTGCGAAGAAAAACACAAGACTGAAAGCATAACTCCTTAATGCGATGACCTAAGCTGTTAAAGTATTACTATGTGCATGTCAAAACAATATTTGGCTACTTATCAGTGTATAATGTTACACATTCATGCTCTGCAGGTGTTTAATTAATGTCCTTATACTTCATTTACGTGTTTCAAGATTTATTTATAGCCTTATTTAGATTCGTGGGCATTCTGCATTTCACACTTCCTTTCGCCTGCTGCCAGGTTGACACCTGGCCGTCCTGCTCATTTCGAGATGGAATGCTGGTAAGAAATGTTGTGTTTCCAGTTTTGTGTTCATTCTGGGTTATTCTCAAGACTATACAGAGACAAAGAAGATAAAATAGACTTCAGTAACAATCCCAGTTTAATATGTGGGTCCACCAAGAGCTCCAAATGCCAAAAAAAAGTGATTAAAATCGAGGCAATCCAGATGGTAGAAGGAAGCGCATGAAAGTTTGATGGTTCCAGATATAAAGGTATATCTGCAACCATCACATTCTTCAGGACAAGTTGAACATCCTCCCATCCATCAGCACCTTTATCAATCAGGTTATTACCCTATAAATCCTAGCCTAAATAGTATAGTGTCAGGTCTCCATCTACTTTAAGTGCGCTCTATCCTGCTGTGAATACGTGGAGGACTCTGTTTCCTTGGTGGGGGTAGGGACCTGTACCAAAATTGGTAATTGTTGAAGACCGCGACGCACCCTCGCAGAGACTAAGTCGAAAAAAATGATGTTTTTCTGCATGAAATCCTATGATTTCATCGATTTTCGGCGTTGTTTCTTTTGCGAATGAATCGTTCAGGAGATCGAGTACCATTTCTCCATCGACGATCTTGATTTGATAGTCCCGTTAGCAGGGGAGGGCATGAAGTATATCAGGGAAATTATGGGGTAAAACAAGCTTAAATAAGAAGAATAACGATCAAAAATGCATAAAACTAGCACAAAAAGCGCTTAAAATCGGCCAATGAAACTCTACGGATGTAACCGCCATCTTTGAAAGTTTACGGACTGACGCGAAATAAATCAAAAACTCTACGGGAACCCAACCCACATTTCGGCAAAAAAATCTACGGGAATTCACACGTTCCAACCCCCAAAAACGTATTGAAATAAACCAAACCAACCTAATATATAATATAAATTGCCGTGACTAGGCGTGCCCTTCGGGCACTGCCCGAGGGGAGGGTTGATGGGGGGCAAGCCCCCAACACCCCCCAGGACACATTCTCTCCACCACGGTATGTACGGCAAGACAGAGCTGCATTCACACCGTAAAATAATAAACCAAATACCTTTATATCCGGAAACGTGAAACTTTCGTTTCTTTGTACTATTGGGATTGCTTCGATTTTAATCCTTTTTCGTCCTTTGGAGCTCTTGATGGGCTCAGATATAAAACTGGGATGGTTACTGAAGTCGAATTATTCTTCGATGCCACTGTAGAGGTCTTAAAAAAGAACCCAGAATCAACACAACACTGGAAACGCAACATTTCTCACCGGCTTTCAATCTCGAAATGAGCGGGTTGGTGAGCTGTCAACCTGTGGCTGGCGCAAGAAAGTGTGAAACACTCGATGCGCAGGATTCGATATGAGGGTATAGATAAATATAAAAATATGCAATTGAAGTATAATAACATTACTAAAAGACTTTAAAGGTATAAATGCGTACCAGCAGACACAGATAATTAGCCAAATATCGTTTTGACAAGCGCGTAATGATACACGGACTAGTTCGCGAACGCAAAAATGCGTTCGTGGGTCAGTGTCGTGTCTTTCCTAGCAAGGTAAACAAGCTCATCGACTTTGAATTTGAAAGGCGGCCGCGCGTTATATTTTCGTCATTTAGCGGTGACTATAAGGCCGGTGCATCTTAAACTATACGCTATCCCCTTCTATTTTTCCCACTCTATAAGATGGCGGTGTCCATTTTCCTCTATCTACGCGCGTCGCGGTCTTCAACCTCTACCACCAAAATTATTTGGATTATTTAACCCTGCATTTTCCCTAATACCTTTCATACCCTCCCCTGCTATCGAGGCCAAGCTTGTTACTGTCAGAGTCCTTAGACAAAATAACACCAACATATGTACAGTATACAGGGTGAGAGGAATTCAGCGATAACAAAATCACTGCGTTCTGTCATGTGGATGTAATAGAAAAATTAACCAATGTAATTCATGCAGATATAACTATTTTCAAAATTGCTTGGTGGAGCTATACTATCTTATAACCCCTTTATGTGGCTACTGTCCCCATCCCCCAACTAGAATGCATAATCTTCACACATGACTTGCGACATAGAATCCATACAGGTATGAGTGATGTCATGCCCCAGCTGAGGCTAAGGCAAACCTCGCTCAGTGCCAAGTTTTTGGAGCTCAAAGAAGTGGCAGACTTTGTTACTGACATCAAATTTGACGGGATTTCCTATGCGGACATATAAATATGAAGCTGCTAGTGATAATTGCGACGATATAGTTAGACGAAAATGGGAATGCACAAAACAAGAACTACTGTATCACTCATTGAAAGCTGGACTGCTGCAGTTCCTTACCCAATTTTGGTCTTCAGTTTCTTCATGTTGAATTATTTAATTCTCACTTCGACTGAGAAATCTTCAACATTTCCTCTTCGGTTTGCGACAGGCCCAACGGTCTTCTCTGTTATTGTGTGCAACAAAGTTTTCTTGGTCTCCAATGTACCTTTTCCTTCAGGAACAAACACGTTCGTCCATGGCACCTTAACTCCTGCTCGTGTTGCGG